TGTAAAATGGGGTTTCACCATGTTGCCCAGGCTGCTCTTGAACTCAAGCTATCCACCCACTTCGGCCTCCCAAAGTGCTGGGACTACAGGTGTGAGCCACCATGCCTGGCCATGACTCTCTTTTATTTTAGGTTTCTCATATTCTTTCCAGAGCAGTCTCTCCTACTTTTACCCATTATTCTATCCCCTGCTAAGTTTTCTCCAGGACCTTGCTTCTGCAGTCTGTTCCCTATTCTTCTGTCTTTCCTTCTGCTGTGTAAATTAAAATGAACTGTCCTCAGGGCTTGCCCACCCCTTTCACAATGTCTATTTTTTCTCCTTCCTCTCTCTGCCAAACTTTCCAAACAATTGGCTGTCCTCTGACTTCTCAGCCTCTGGCACAACTGTTACATAGTTGATGAATGGATAAATGAATGATCTCACATTTATCTCCTCATTCACTTCACTCCAGTCGCAGGCCTTCTTTCTGCATTTTGAACATGCCAAACTCATTTTCACTTTAGGGCCTGTGGACCACTGGTTCCCTTTGCCTGGAACACTCTTAAGATCTTTGCTTGGCCAGCAACTCTTATCATCCCTACACACACACACACACACACACACACACACGCACCCCACATGCACACACACATACACACACATTATCAATACCCAAGTTTAAGTACACTTCGAAAGTAAATTCTTTTTTAAATGTGAGACAGAGTCTTGTTCTGCTACCCAGGCTGGAGTGTAGTGGTGTGGTCATGGCTCACTACAGCCTCAACCTCCCAGGCTCAAGTGATTCTTCCACCTAAGCCTCCCCCATAGCTGGGGCTACAGGCATGCACCACCACACCTGGCTAATTTTTGTATTTTCTGTAGAGATGGCGTCTCCCTATGTTGCTCAGGCTGGTCTCGAACTCCTGGACTGAAGCAACCCTCCCATGCTAGCCTCCTAAAGTGCTGGGATTACAGGCGAGAGCCACCACTCCCAGCCTAAAGGAAACTTTTATTGAAGTAAAACATATACAAAACACTGCACAAACCCTAAGTATACAGCATGAAAAACTTTTATAAAGCAAACATCCCTGTATAATGAGCACACACATGAGCAAATATTACTAACACCCAGAAGTGATCCTTTGTGTCTACCGTCAGTCTCTATCTACCCAAAGAATAACCAGTATCCTGATTTTTTTTTTTCTTTTTTGAGACGGAGTCTCACGCTGTTGCCCAGGCTGGAGTGCAGTGGCACGATCTCGGCTCACTGCAAGCTCCGCCTCCCAGGTTCCCGCCATTCTCCTGCCTCAGCCTCCTGAGTAGCTGGGACTACAGGCGCCCGCCACCGCGCCCGGCTAATTTTTTGTATTTTTAGTAGAGACGGGGTTTCACTGTGGTCTCGATCTCCTGACCTTGTGATCTGCCCGCCTCGGCCTCCCAAAGTGCTGGGATTACAGGCTTGAGCCACCGCGCCCGGCCAAGTATCCTGATTTTTAACACCAAATATTTGTTTTACCTGTTCTTAAACATTATTTAAATGGAATGATACTGTATGTACTATTTTGTGTCTTTCACTCAACGCTGTGTGAGATTCATCCAAGTTATATAAAATTGTAGTTCTTTAATTTTCATTCAAAAATAGGCAGAGGCCTTAAATAGACATTTCTCCAAAGAAGATATACAGATGGCCAATAACCACATGCAAAGAGCCATAGCATCACTAATCATTAATCAAAACCACAATGAGAGGCCCACCTTACATCCATTAGGATGGCTACTATCAAAAACCCAGAAAATAAGTGTTGAAGAGGTTGTGGAGAAACTGAAACCCTTATACACTGCAGCTGGGAATGAGAATGGTCCAGCTGCTATGGAAAACAGTATGATGGTTCCTCAAAAAATTAAATACAGAATTACCAATACCAAATGATTCCACAATTCCACTTTGCACTTTGAATATACACCTAAAAAAATGGAAAGGAGTTTTTGTTTGTTTGTTTGTTTTATTTTGTTTTTTGAGATGGAGTCTTGCTGTGTCGCCCAGGCTGGAGTGCAGTGGTGCGATCTGAGCTCACTGCAACCTCTGCCTCCTGGGTTCAAGCGATTCTCCTTCCTGAGTACCCCCTAGTAAATCTCTAAGTCTGCAACCCAGCCATACTGACAGCTGGCAATCCCTTGGATGCACCTTGAATGTTTTTATCTTGTTTCTGGGCCTTTACATGAACCATTTCCTTTGCCTAGAATAACTTTCGCTTAACTTTCTTTACCTGGATAACACCTATTTGACCTTTAGGTGTCTTCCTCCAAGAAGCTTCTTGGCCCCCCAGCCAGGTCAGATGTCCCTTATCTGTGTACCTGCTCTTGGGTGCTTTGTACACACCTCTCTTTGTAGCTTTGATCACCCAGTATGGTGACTGATGGTTTGCGGTTTGTCTTTCCTGCCCCACCGTCCTCCACCCCAGTGAGCTCCCTGAGGACAGGACTGGTCTTGTTCACCCCAGCACCTAATATAACATATGGCTCACAATGTATGTACAATGAATATTTTCACTCTGTAGCACTCTGTGCTTTTCAAAGTGCCCTGAAACAAACTCATCTATGGAGCTATCATAATATTTCCTTAACATTCATTCCTCCTGAATAAAATATTCTTTTAAAAAATACTACCATTACTTAGAACATTTATGTGAATTATCCATCATGTCACAGATGGGACTGAGTCGGGACTCTATCTCATTTTCATCTGATATATTAGAAGAGTTTGAGAAAAACCAGATTCCTTTTGAATCACTTGACTGGAGGTGGTGTCTCTAGGAGTGTGGTGGGGAAATGGGTGCACGGAACTCAGAAGCGGGCCTCAGCTGGTGATCTGACCTTCTCATGAATTCACGTCCCTGCTTTCCTGGAAGCATGAATTGAAGCCAGCATTGAAAAGGTGTTCACACTGTAGCCTGGGAGAAACTGTCTCTCAGTCCTTGGAATCACAGAATGAAAGAACTTCAGGTCATCTGGTTGAATCTCTGCCTTTAAGATGTGGGGAAAGAGACTGGGAGCAGTGGCTCACGCCTGTAATCCCAGCACTTTGGGAGGCTGAGGTGGGCGGATCGTCTGATGTCAGGAGTTTAAGACCAGCCTGGTCAACACAGTGAAAACCCCATCTCTACTAAAAATACAAAAACCAGCCAGGGTGTTGTGGCCCGCACCGGTAGTCCCAGCTACTCGGGAGTCTGAGGCAGGAGAATCACTTGAACCTGGGAGGTGGATGTTGCTGCAAGCCAATATTGTGCTAACCTGGGCACAGAGCAAGACTTTGACTCCAAAAAAAAAAAAAAAAAAAAAAAAAATGGAGAAAGAGATCTAGTATTTTGGCCTAGAAACCTCACAAGACTCACCAATCTCGTTTTTCTTTCTCCAAAAGGCTGGACTTGGCAGTTAGTAGGCTCCTGATCCCACACAAAATATCTCTTGGAATATTTTATCCTCCCTTTCTCAGAATCATCACCTGAATAGTATCCTCTGCGTAGGTGGTGTGTTAATATTGCCATATAGAAATTCATGGAAGACATAGTTCCCGGCCCTAGAAACTTACAAACTGAGACCAGGAGTTTGAGAGTGATCTGCACACGTCAGTCAAGTCAAAAGAAAGAGAAACTCTTTTTTGTTTTGTTTTGTTTTGTTTTTTGAGATGGGGTCTCACTCTGTCACCTAGGCTGGGGTGCAGTGGTGTGATCTCGGGTCACTGCAACCTCCATCTCCTGGGCTCAAGTGATCCTCCCACTTGAGCCTTCCAAGTAGCTGGAACCACGGGCGTGTGCCACCACGCCTGGCTAAAAAGGGAAACTTTTAATTTAATTCAATTCAATTTAATTTTTTTTTGAGACAGAGTTTCGCCCAGGCTGGAGTGCAGTGGTGCGGTCTTGGCTCACTGCAACCTCCGCCTCCCAGGTTCAAGCGATTGTCCTGCCTCAGACTCCCGAGTAGCTTGGATTACAGGTACCTGCCACCATGCCTGGCTAATTTTCTTTTTTTTTTTAAATTTTTTAAATTTTTAGTAGAGACGGGGTTTCACCATGCTGGCCAGGCTGGTCTCGAACTCCTGACCTCAAGTGATCCGCTTGCCTCGGCCTCCCAAAGGCATGAGCCACTGCACCAACCAGAAAGTTTTAAAAATATGGGTTTTATTTGAAAACCAAGCCAGACATTAAATCAAAATAATTTTTTTTTGCTTTTGTATGAACTCTCCCGTTTTTATACATAGATGATCTGAAGTTATAATTTAAATTTAGGAAAGTGCGGAGGATGAATAGATATTGGCTTTTTCCCAGAGTGTGGAGGGGTAGGAGCAGGGAAACAGGGAAATGACACTACCGAGCGCCTTCTGTATGCCAACGATTTTTTGTTTGTTTTGTTTCAGAGAAGTGAGTCTTGCTCTGTTGCCAAGACTGGAGTGCAGTCGTTATTCACAGGTGCAATCATGGCTCATTGCAGCCTTGAACTCCTGGGCTCAAGCAATCCTCTCACCTAAGCCTCCCAGGTAGCAGGTGCACACCACATGTCTGCTTTCCAAGGAGGTTTAGATCAACCCTCACAACAAGCCTGTGAAGCAGGGATTGTTATTCCCACTTTTCTGGTAGCACACCAAGGTGCAAGGATTCCCTGTGGATACGTGGTTAGTATGGTAGAATGGCGTGAGGTTTGAACCCAGTCCTGACAATCATCAGAGCTACACAAGGCTGCCAAGAAGTAGAAAAAGACAGTGGCATTTTGGGTCCCCATTATCAATTCGAAAGATGTACAGTCTTAAGCTTGGAAGTCGGTCGTCTGGTTCAACCCTGCCTTTTGCAGAAGCAGGAACTGGAGCCCTAAAAAAATAAAGCAACTTGCCTGCAATTAAATAGGGTGAGAGGGGGCAGATGAAGCGTAGGCATGTGGGGCTGGATCTGGCTGCGCACTGACACATAGAAAGCCTGAAATATAAGTGAGAAAGGAAAATTCCAAGAAAGAAAAGGCAGAGAAGTGGCTGTTCTTACTCCCACACCTAAGGTGTGAATTCTTTTATTGAGTCATAATAATTTCCCAAGAATTCCGAGTCTTGCTACTTTAGGTTCTTGCCCAGGAATCCACCTCTTTTCCCCCAAGCCCAACAACCCTTTGAGGTGCTCACGATTGAGCGCATGGTTGGGGGGGAAGGGGCTGCATGGGGGCGGGGATCCTATGGCTTCACATCATCCACTGTCACCTCTGGTCCCCAAGTCTCTGGATCCTTTGGTCTCACCTCTAGACAACCGTATCTTTCAAACCTTCTTCCCTGGCAACTCCTCTCTGTCCCGACAAAATCTCTCCCAAGACATTGTCCTTGTAGTTAGATTCACACAGAGCTTTTGCTTTCATAAGGTGCGTACATGCCCAGCTTCTCACTTGCGTGTGACAGCACCCCGGTGAGGTGGACAGGGAAGGGATGGCTCTCTCCATTTTGTAGGAAAGGGGAGGCTGCCCTCTTGATTCTTCAGTGTCATTAGGAATATTTACGAGTCCCAGCCTCACACTGGCCCAGCAGGGCTTCTTTGGCACAGGCTCTAGTTTTTTCTCTTGTTCCTTGGGTTTCCTAGAATCCCAAAGGACTCTCTGTGGCAGCTACATTACGAATAGGCTGATGATGCATGTGTGACGGTGCAGCGGCAGTCGCCAGCTCTGTGTTGCTGGGTGGCGTCCCTCCGGGCTCTGTGGCTGATCTCCCACTCTATCGTGGCCCCCCCCGTCCCGTGCTTGCCATCCTTCCTGCTTATCATTCATTATCTATCTTCCTGCTTACCATTCATTATCGTAAATCTAACCAGATTTCACGGGGATACACATCTCCAACCCTCCATTTTGTCCAAACGGATCTATCTTGGTTTTTTTTCTCTTGCCTAAATATTAGGCATGCCTAATGGGTTTCAAAAATTAATATAATTTATTTTCCATCTTGTCAGTGCAAAACAAAGGTGTTCTCAAGGCATGGCACTGAAGACCAGAATCCTTCCTCCTCTTCTACTTCTGTTTCTTGAATCAGCAACAAGTAAACAACAGCTCTGTAAACATGTGTGGGTCTGTGTCCATGTGTGCGTGGATCCACCGTTTTCTTCCATTCTTAACTGGTTTGGGACATGTTAGCTACCAGTGGCCTTCTTGTCGTGTTCAAAACGGAGATTCCCGTAACATCTGGACTTTCATCAGGGCCCGTTTCAGCTGCTCATAGGTTACGAACATCACCACGTTCCAGGATCCCAAACGCAAAAAGGAGGGTGTAAATCTGATGAGAAAAACAACCAACACATCAGGTGGAGTGCTAGGAGACCACAACAGATGCGTGTGCTCTCGCGGGACACAGCGGTAGTGCCAAAGGATCTAGACTTCTGTTCATCACAAGTATTTTCTGAAATCCTTTCAGTCTCTCTCCATCGCTCTTTTTTTTTTTTTTTTCCTGCTAAGGGGATTTAGGCAGAAGTCGGAGTAAGGGAAAAAAAAACCTGACGTTTTGAGACAGGTTACTGTGTTAGGCAGCGAATTCTCACAGTTCTTTTTTTTTTTTTTTTTTTTTTTTTGAGTCAGAGTATCACTCTTGTTGCCCAGGCTGGAGTGCAATGGCACTATCTTGGCTCACCGCAACCTCCGCCTCCCAAGTTCAAGTGATTCTCCTACCTCAGCCTCCCGAGTAGCTGGGATTACAGGCATGCACCACCACCCCCGGCTAATTTTTGTATTTTTAGTAGAGACAGAGTTTCTCCATGTTGGTCAGGCTAGTCTCGAACTCCTGATCTCAGGTGATCCACCTGACTCAGCCTCCCAAAGTGCTGGGATTATAGGCATGAGCCACTGCACCGGGCCCCTCACAGTTCTATAAGGCAGCCATGTTTTCACAAACCGAGGCCCAGGGAGGTTAAGAGCTCAACCAAAGACCTGTGGCTAGTAAGTGTCAGAGGTGTGGTTCTGACTCCACCCTGCTGCTGGGTGTTTCTGGGTTCAGTTACACCCCGGGGGGCCAGCCCTAACGTGGCCGCCTGCCAGGACATGGAGCAGCTTGGGCTTTGCAGCTACCTATAGTAGCTCTTGTTCACTTGTTGAGTCCATGATAACACCAGGCACCAGAAAACTCTCTGTTGAAGGCATCAGCAGTGGGAGGTGAAAGGGCCAAGCTAACAGCTTACCAGTAGGATAAACAATATTGTTGGGTGTGGTGTCTGACGGTCTGGGTTTGAGCCATGGCTCCACCATTTTAACTTGTGGTCTTGGATAAGTTACTTAACTTTTCTGACACTCAGTCTTTTCCTTAGTTAACGTGGACAATACTACCCAGTTCAAGGGGCTGTTGGGATAACGTGTGTAAAGTGCTCAGCACGAGGCCTAATATAGAGTGACTTAGCTGTCGTGATCATCGTCACCAACCTGCATTATCAAGTGCTCACTCTGTGTGAGGGACTGTGGGAGATACAAGACGTCTGAGCCACTTTGGCTTTCGGGAACTTGCCCTTTGCAAGAGGAATAACTTAAGCTTACCAATACTGTAATACAAGGCAGGAGGTGATAAATACCATAAAAATGGTATCAAATGGCATTGCAGAAGTTCCCAGGGAGGAGGGAAAATTTACACCTGAGAGTGTTAGGGAGGAGGTGGCATTTGAACTGGTCTTGAAGGAGGCTAAAATTGACAGCCTGTAGATGATGAGGCATTCCATGCAGAGGGAGCAGTAAGTGCAAGAAAATGTGGAGTATGTGGAGACAGTGAGGAAAGCACCGGCTGTGGTCAGCGTGGTGCTCAATGGCCATGGCAGGAGGTCCGGGAGGTCTCAGGATTGCTAACTTCCTTTGGAGACAGGCAGTACTTTTACCTGTTCCTAGAACGCTTCCTCAGTCAGGCTTCCCTAACTCTCCCCATCAGGTATGGTTCACTTTTTTTCTTTTACTTGCATGGTTTTTTAAACTTCTCCTTTGTGGCATTTACATCTGTACTCTTCACCGCTACATCCCAGGTTGACCCATGGTAGCCACATTAGAAAAGAAAGAAGTCCCCGTTCTCTGGGAGGGAGCACTGGAGGCAGGAGGAGGCTCACCCCTTGTAGAAGGCTGTGGGGCCCTCCTGGGCCACCATCTTTATCATACAGTCGAGGGGGCTGAGGTACTGGCCTGGAGGTGAGTTCATATACCGGGTCTTCACCACATCCACCGGGGAGGCCACCACTGTGGCACAGAAGCCGGCTCCAAAGGCAGAGGCAAAGTGGCAGGGGAAGTTGTCTGCATAGGAAGGATGAGCAAATATCAAGGAGTGCGTTTGTGTTCTGTCCATATGTATGCACTGTTTGTCCCCACCTCAACCATGAACTCCCTGAGCATATTTTCCGTATCTGACAGTATTTTCCGTATCTCTCACAGTGCCCTGGGCTCAGCTCTTGGTAAGTACTGGCAAACTAGGCCTGGGCTGACCCAGAGGTGGGAGGTCATGCAGGCTGTTTGAGGAAACTGAAGTCAGAGAAGGTGAGAGATCCTTGCTTAAAGCTACATAGTGAGATGTGGTGCTGGGACTGGAACCCAAGTCTCCAGCCTCCCAGTCTAGGGTTCTTTCCTGCTTGTCACCACAATGTACCAGGCACTCTTTACTAGGCACTGCTTCTCTCTCTGCTCCTTCTAAAGCCCAGTTGCCTCTGGGTTCCCTCCCTGCTGGGGGAGGGCTGCCTGCCTGGAGCCCAGGGCCTCACCAGTGAGCAGGTGATAGTCCAGCAGCTTCTCCTTGAGGATGTCGTAGGTCACCACCTCAGCACAGTTGACGATGGCATTCCTCATGATGTTGGGCAAAGTTCCTGTTAGGAAGGCAGTGGGGACGGATGAATGGGAAATGGGAGAAATGGATGCCCTGGCTGCAAGGTCACAGGCCCCAGTTTTGGGGCTATCAGGCCCCATTCCAGTGGTCGCAGCCAGAGGATCCCACCCCAGCTGCGCGGATTCCACATTTTCCTCTCTAGAGTTAACAACTCTCAGATTATCCATATCTTCCTCAGAGACAGAGAACAGAGAGGCCCACTGGTGTTCACTTGGCCTCATTTTGGAGGGTAATCTGCAACAGCTGTCAAAATTAACATATGCCTCCCCGAGACCCAGCTGCAGCCAGAAAAGAAAGTCATTCAGCGAGAGGCTGAGCTCTTGGAACAGTGACAGAATGTGGTGCCAGCAGGGCCCACCCCTGGTTTCACAGGTAAGGGGACAAGCTCTGAAGGGTGCCCAACAAGTGACTGAAGAGCCCCCACTTAAGAGGTGTCCTGCCCTTAAACTTCACTGGGTCAGTTTCTTCTGCAAACATTTCTGCAACCTCTGGTTCACACGTGGAGAGAGTCCTGCATTCATCTCAGTGGCCGCCATGTGGACACATAGGGAACCCTCCAGCTTTGCTCCCAAGGGAGCGCTTCCTCATTGCATCTCCCTGCGCCCACTCTTCACAGCTGTGCGTTTCTGATGCTCCTCTTCTTCCTCCGGGCCCTGCTTGAGGGCCCCTCCCCTTCCGTCTCCACACACCTAGAGCCTGTTCAGTCTTCCAGGCCCAGCCTAGGTGTCACCTTCTCTGCAGAGCCCGCCTCTGGAGCTCCACCTCTGGGGCAACCCCTACCACATCCTGCCCGTGGTGTAGCTGCATCTTGACTTATCTCCTCCGCTGTCCTCACGCCCTGGGTGTGTGAAGGTGTCTTAAATTCATTTGTCTCCCTCACAGCAGCCTGCACATGGCAAAGGGCTGGTAAAATGAACTGAGTTTGAGGGGCTGTGGCAGGCCAGCGAAGTATCTTTGGTTGTGATGTTCTTTCAGAATCACTGGAACATGCCATGCTGGGAGCCCCTCCTTGCTGGGGTCCCTGCCCCAGCCTGAGGGGAGGGAAAGCTCTGCCTAAGGCCGCTTGTGCCCAGAGTCCAGACCTACCTTTCCACAGGCCCCTGACTCCTTCCTCCCTGGCGATGGTTCTGTAGGCATCCATAGTCCCGCTGTATTTTCTGTCGCTCCCAGACGACCCGAGGTGTATGCTGGCCTGAAATCGGACCTTCACCACATCTGTGGGCTGGGCACAGGTCACTGCCATGGCTCCCGTGGTGCAGCCGGCCAAAATCCGGGTAGTGAGGCTGGAGCCTGGAAGGGACAGAAAGAGTGGGTCAGTACCCCCTACTAAGCAGCTCTCTGGGACATGCTGTTCTCTGCGGGACTGCCCCTGCAGCTTCCTTGATGTCCGCTCAGAGCCTCCTCATGAGCATTCGGTACCATCTTCCCCCCCACCCCTGGCTCTGCCTCTGAGTCTAGACTTCCCTGGTCTCTTGACCCACAGACGTTCGGCCACCCCTTTGGTGCTCAGGGACCTGGTCACTCACTGTCTGCGCCTTGGGGGGTGTAGACCTGCTTGACAGAGTCGTAGAGGCCGATGCGGATGGAGGCGAAGCTCATCTGGCGCTGCAGGCCGGCCACCAGCCCATTGTAGGGGCTGCAGAGACCCTCGGTCCGCACCATGGTCAGGATGGTGCCCAGCACGCCACGGTACTGCACAAGCCGGGCCGTCTGGGCCACCGGGTTCTCCCCCTGGATCTGAGGGACAATAGCGGGGGGCGAGGACTCAGATGGGAGGGCAAGAAGGGGCTGGGTGCACAGGAACCCTGCTGGGGCTGGGCCTGCCTGGGCTGGGCCTGAGAACAACCGTGCTGGTCACAGCCTTCACATCACAGTAGAAATCACTGGTGTCTGGGCAGGATTTTACCATTCACAAAGCAGTGTTATACACACGGCTTGATGTTTGATACTCAGAGTAAATCAGAGGGACAGATTGTCTTTCCATTTTATAAGTGCTTTGTGGCTTGCCCAAGATCACACAGTTAATCCCTTACTTTTACCGCACACTGTGCGCTTTACGAAGTAGGGCCTAGCCCATAAAGGGCCCTGTCGCATTATGCAAAGAATTTAGATTTTTTTGTCTTGGTGGATGGTGATGAGAGGAGGCAAGGAAGGGTCCTAAGCAGTGGAGTGAGAGTCTTCGTCAGGGTTCTGAGTGAGGAAGGGCATGTGGGCACACGTCATGGGGGCTATGGGGGAGAACTAGCCCCTCCTTCCATGTGATCAATGACCCTTGGCCAAAGGGCACCTACCTGCAGGCGGACCTTGGCTGTGTCCAGTGGAAAGGTAAGGAGGTCAGCAAAACAGGCTGCTGTGCCTGCCCCCAGGAACTTCACAGCCATGGTGGGAGGCACGTCTGAAGGCTTCAGTCCAACCATGGTCCTGGAAGGCTCTGCCCAGTCTCTTTAGGGCCGAGAGGAGGTCCAAGGAGAGAGGCTGCTCCACAGCCCTGGGCTTCAGTGCAGCGGTGAGGCTGCAGGAGACAGGCCAGAGGAGGCTGACGGAGTGATGTCTGGCCTGGCCCCCAGGTGCTCCTCAGCATCCAGGAGGGGCTTTAGAAAGGGAGAAGCCTGGGTGGTGCCATACTTAAGCTGCGTGAATTTGGCCTATAAAAACAGGTCACGTTCCCATCCCTCGGATTTTGCAATCCTCCTCTTGACTCTCTCCCTCCCCTCCTTACCATGGGTAGGCAGAGCTGACAGTGGTATCTGCACTGTATACATGAGGAAACCGAGGCTCAGGCACCTGTTCTCCCCAATATCAAACTGCTTCCTTTTTTTTTTTTTGAGACAGGTTCTCGCTTTGTTACCTGGGCTGGAGTGCAGTGGTACAATCCAGGCTCACTGCAGCTTTTACCTCTTGGTCTCAAGTGATCCTCCCACCTTCAGCCTCCTGAGTAGCTGGGACTATAGGCGTGCATCACCATACTCAGCTAATTTTTTATTTTTTGTAGAGATGGCGGTCTCTCTATGTTGCCTATTCTGGTCTCGAACTCCTGGCCTCAGCCTGATCACTTGACAAGAGGGGCAGTTCTTAGCCACTCATGGGAAATGGAATGGATGGGCGTAGACTCAGGTCAAAAGCCCATCTTGGGGTCAGGGCTCTAGAACTTTCAGTAGTCAAGCTCGGGGAGGAGGGGAAGCCACAGTGGAGGGCACATATAGGAGCTGCCCTGAGGCCAGCACTCCCCAATCTTCTTCCCAATTCACTCCAGCCTCCCCTACACCCCTAGCAGCCGGCAGCCTTTTGCCACTGGCCAGTGGAGGAAGAAGTCAAAAGTGGAATCCTCATTTCTGTAGCTCTGCTGGGGCTCCTGAGGGATGGGATGTTCTAGTCTGCATGGTCCATTAATGTTTGCTGGTTGCTTCTTGCACTGGATACCGTGCTGAGGGCTTTACAGACACTGACTGAGTCGATCCTTTATAAGGCTACAAGTAGTTGCTATTATTATTCCCATTTCATAAACCAGGGACCTGAGGCTTCCAGGGCTTTAGCTAGTCATACAGCTGAAGTGCTGGCACTAAGATTGGTGTCCATGCTTGTCTGACATCTGAAGCTGTGCCTGTTTCACTGCCCAGAGAGTCTCAGACTTCAGGGAGAGCCGAAGATCCCTTGAGCTGCTTGTTTACAGAGTAGATTCTCAGCCCTCAGCCCCAGAGATCCTGATTTAGGTCTGGGGTGGGGCCTAGGAATCTGCATTAGGAAAACTCCCCATGGTAGCTCTGAAGCGGGGGAAGGGGACCCCATTTTGAGACATCCTACCCAATACCAGTTGCCTCCCCAACTCCAACCCACCCTCCCGGCAAAGCCTTCACAGCAGCCCACTGAAGAAGCCATCTAGGCGGAGAGACCATGGGCTCTGGAAAGCTCCCAGTAAATGACCTGGACCAGCCTCAGGTCAGAAGTGCCCCTGTCATCCCTACTCAGGAAGAGGCCCCAGGGTCTTCACGGAAAGAAAGGGACTTATGCTCTGGAGGAATCGCAGAGATTCTGGGGCAGGCAAAGAAGAAAGCCACTTCCTGTCTATGGGGATTGGCAAAATCCCACCAGAGGCAGCCAGCAAGGCAAATGGGGTATGAGTCTTGAGTGAGTGACACGGGTGTTGGGTTCAAGTCCCAGCCCTGCCACAGTACCCTCATCAGGGCTGCAGCTTCCTTTTTATAAGGTGGGGGCTGGACTGAGTATCAGGTCTGACATGCTACAGCTAGTGAGCCCTGACTGCTCGGGGCTGCTCGCTGAAAGCCTCCAATGAAAGGGAGAATAGGAGAAGGGAGAGGGACAGGGGAAGGGATGAGGGAGGAGAAAGGGGTCTTACCTGTGAGTCCTGCCAGGGCAGGGGCAGCACAGGGGCTCCCTATGGCTCCATCCCAGGGGGTGGCAGCAGGGATCGGATGGCCCCTCCTTGTCATTCACTGTTGTCTCTGCTGCTTCTGGCTTGGCACTGGTCTTATACACACGGGCTGACCTGAAACCTTATCCTAGAGAAGCTGGTTGACTGCCTGATCACTTGACAAGCGGCTGGCTGGTGAGGGCAGTGAGGTGAGAGGGGAGGTGAGTGAGTTCCACATCTGGTTCAGTCCTCTTACTTGGGGTGCTTTAATATAGCTCCTTTAAACTGTGGACGCTTTCTTGGTGACAGGGTGTATGGGGGGGTGGACCTGCTGCTACTTTTGAGTCCAAAGGTCAAGGCCTCCCACGATAGGCTGGGCACAGCTCTCCCAGGCCTCATAATAATGATGATAACTGTCATTTCTTCGTGCCCACTATGTGCTAAATATTTTACATACATTACTACTATTTTTCACAATCCTATGAGATAGGTACTATTAGAATTCTAATTTTTTTTACTTTTTTTTTTTTTGGTAATTTAAAAATTTTTAGTAGATTCGAGGTCTCACTGTATTCCCCAGGCTGGTCTTGAACTCCTGAGCTCAAGTCATCCTCCTGCCTCAGCCTGGCAAAGTGTTGGGATTACAGGTGTGAGCCACTGCACCTGGCCTAATTTTGTTTTTTAATTACAGATTTATCGATATAGAATTCACATACTCTACAATTCATCTGTTTCAAGTGCACAATTCAAATGGTTTTTAGTATATTCTGAGTTGTGCAACCATCAACACAATCTATTTTAGAACATTTTCATCACCCTCCTGCCCTGGAAAAACTCCATACACATTAGTAGTCACTCCCCTTCCCCCACTCCCCAGCCTCAGGCAACCACGAATCAATCTACTTTCTGTCTCTATAAATTTGCCTGTTCTGAACACTTCCTAGAAATGGAATCATCCACTATGTGCTTGTTTGTGACTGGCTTCTTTTACTTAGTATAGTAATGCTTTCAAAGTTCATCCGTGTTGGAGCCTGCTTCAGTATTTCATTTCTTTTTAATGCTGGGGATCCTAAAATCTTACCACTTATTTTACTGCAGAGGAAATGGAATCTCAGGGAGGTCATGTAGCCAGCACGTGGCAGGGCCTGACTCCAGCCTGTAAACTCTAAGGCATTTTGAGCTTATCTACTGTGACCACCATTTTCTCTGACATGACACTTGGAAGCTTTAGCATGGACACTGCTGGAGCCAAGGGAGCTGGGGCGGGGTGGAAGGGTGCCCCACAGAAGCTACTGGAGGCTCCATCTTTGGGCACTTAGAGTAAGGGCTGGGCATAGCTGAATCGGGCCCCAGGTGATGGGGGAAGGGGAGAAGAGGAAGAGAAGGGAGGGGAGGAGTGAGAAGCAGAAGGGAGGGAAGGAGAGTGAGTTGATTGGGTAGGGCAGAGGAGGAGTAGGCGGAAGTCTTTTCTGGACTTGGGCACACAGCCAGGGTCACAGGGCAGGTGGTCAGAGGTACGGACGCTCAAGTGCAAAGCTTGGGCTGTACCTGTCCTCTTCCTTGGACCAGGCTCTGACCTTAATGTCAGCAGAATAAGCAGCTGCATTAGTGTTAAGAGGGAAGTGGCTGTCAGGGCTGCTGAGATTAGGAAGGCTTAGGAAGTAGGTTCTGAGCTCCATCTGTAATTGCTAGCCTGGAGGTGGTGGGATAAATTGCACGGAGTCTGTGGGGGAAGAATAGAGTAGAAGCCCAAACCAGGAGGCAGCAGGCTCTGGAGAAACCCAGGGGGAGGGAGGGCCAAGCTCTCTTTGGCTTGGGAGCTTGAGAGCAGGACCAGGTCTGCCTGCTTTGGCTCCATGTCCAGAGGCCAGCCCATGCTAGAAGTCCCAAGGCTGCCTGCTATGGGTTGGGAAGAGAGGCAGCCACTGGCTCGTTCTGGTGGTGGGAACACCTATCTCATGCCTTAATCCATGCCACATGCCTGGTCAAGTCATTTACCTCAGAGTTGGCACTGGGAAGATTCAGCTTCCAGGGCTAAGATATTGATAAATAACACACTGTTTTGAAGTGGAGATGGGAGGTCTCGACCCTCAGGGTCCCTTTGTGTCATCAGAGGCTGCTCTCAACCTGGAGTAGGAGCATGTCCTCCTAACCCCGATCAGGTTGTCTGTGGGAGCTAGAGTGGGATTTGGAGGAATATTCTTTACCTGGGGCTTTCCCCCTGAGGCCTGGTCTCTGACTGCTCCTCTTTAGGTTCCCTGAGCCCCAAAGGAAGTGGGGTCCTGGGCCTTGAATGCTCTGTGCTGGTGACTTGAGAGGGAGGCTGGCCTCCATGGTGCTGGGGAGGGGTGGGCTGGCAGGCTGGAACTTAGAAGCAGAGACAAATAGAAAGGGGAGGCCTTGTCACCAGGAAGGCGGCACCCACTCCTTCCTTGAGGTTCCCGCATCACTATGCACCCGCTGATGCCCGGGAGTGCTCGGCCTGCCCCAGTGGCTGTGTGCTTGCCTCACTACGGGTTTGCTCCGGAGCATCAGAGAGTGGGTGGGGCTGACATTTCCTAAGCTTTCACTGTGTGCCAAATGTAGGCGAAGCACTTTAAAAAATGTCATCTCATTTGATCTTCCTCACAACCCCATGAAGCTGGAGTGATTATCTCTGTTTTACATATGAGGCCACAGAGGCTCAGACACAGCGAGACTGGTCTCTCTCTCCAGCTGCACGCCGCTCACAGGCTTTTCTGGCTCGCTCTCTATAGCTGTCCATAGTCTGGCCAATTCTCTGGGCTCACCCCAAGACCTGTCTCTTCTAGGAAGCCTTCCCTGACTGCTTCAGCCCACATGGTCTTTCTCCATGAAGTCCCTAAATTAAGAGCACTTATTGGCTGTACCTTGTTTTGATCACTGAAAGCAGTAGCCTTGCAATACCTCTGGGGATTTCTTGTGTGGTGAATCACTTCCTAACTACACAAACAGAGGCAAAACACTGAACTTACAGAAACTGTAGATATCATACTATCTAGAGTTAGCAAGTTGTTTTGAGGACTGAGTGAAGTGACATGTACCTGGGGGTGAAAGCCTATTGCCCAGCCACGTCTTTTTTTTTTTTTGATACGGAGTCTTGAGTCTTGCTCTGTTGTCCAGGCTGGAGTGCAGTGGTGTGATCTCGGCTCACTGCAACCTCCACCTCCTGGGTTAAAGTGATTCTCCTGCCTCAGTCTCCTGAGTAGCTGGGACTACAAGCATGCACCATGCCCAGCTGATTTTTGTATTTTTTTTTTTTAGTAGAGACAGGGTTTTGCCAGGTTGGCCAGGCTGGTCTCAAACTCCTGACCTCGGGTGATCTGCCTGTTTCACCCTCCCAAAGTGTTTGGATTACAGGTGTGAGCCACTGCGCCCGTCCATGGCCCTTTTCTTGTCCTCCCCACAGGGCTTTGTCTGTGGCAGCTGCTCAAGAGTTTGTGGTCTGACAGCCTCAGCCAGAGTTACCCATCTCAGAGATAAGAGGGATTCTGAGGGTTCCATTTTACTAATGGATTTCAAGCATCAGCAAAGGAAATACTGGGTGTCACTGTCATCTGGACCAACCTGATTCTGGGGGAGCCAGAGTCTCATGGTGATTGATCCTGTGGGGGGTATGGTTGTTAATCTTCCTCTCTGGCAGTTAGGGCACACACGAATTCCTAGCATCCCCACTCCAGTGAAACACTTGTGCACAGATTACAAACACCAATATGATTTTATTCAAACACAGGTAAGAACAATGACCTTCAGAGCTGGGTAAAAACAATAAGTTAAAAGCATGGTTAGAATTTTAGACAATCGGATAAAAAGTTTGAAGGAGGTGATTTCCCCTTCCTGTCCTAATTAATTCAACATGGCATAAAAATAATTTGTATCTATAAAATATCCTTGTTCCCACACAAATGAACTGGAGGTGGCCCTAGGATTTCCTTGACTATGCACAATGCACACAATGTACATGTCCCTCCTCCCCAGCTTTTAAGGCAAAAATGGTCCCACATCTTCAGGCAGAGGGTGGGCTCATGTAAGCAGTCAGCTGTGCCAAGGACACCGGGAGGCGTTTCTCCACCGAAAGATGCCTGCTAGGGTCCGCTGGCCAAAAGATGGAGGAGCCACTTGGGCGCGGATTCCATTTTGTTTCTAGCCTTTGCCTTACCACAGAAGAAAGGAGCTGAAATTCTGGCAAGTGGACACTGGACTGGCTTGGGGCACTCCTCCAGTCTGGGCTGACTGGGTCTCTTGAGGCAGCCATGGCCTAGGTAAGTGGTAGTTTCAGGACTGTGACAGCCCTGAAGGAGCCAGACCTGGTGCCTCTGCAAACTGGACAAAGCTGAGGGAGGGTGGGCAGGTGTCTCCTTCTCCCAGCGCCTCAGGCTACGTCAGTCTTTCTGGGAGTACCGAGAAGAAAATATCCGTGCAATTCTGCGAGTTTCTTCCTCAGGCAGGTTGGGGGGGAGCGAGTTAGGTCTGGGGCGACAAGGCCTTTGGGAGAGGGCTCCCCTGGTGGCTTCGCTCTTGTCCTGGAGAGGAAGAAGTCAGCTAGGTTAGTGCTGAGGATATGGCACCACCAATGGATGACACTGGTTTCTCTCATCTTTTGGTCCTTTGGTTAATATTTATGTAGAGCTGCGTGGTTTACAAAGCGCTTTACATACCTTATGTTGCTTGACCCTTACCTCGACCCTATATGGGGGGTATATCATTCTTCCCACGTCGTGGATAAGGAAACTACATCCAGGTGAAATAAACTCAAGGTCCCACAGCTCTGAGTGGCAGAGCTGGGATGTGAACCCCAGCCCTGACTCTTTCTGTGCCTCTGGAGAAGGAGGGCGTCACCTCCAGGACAGGTCTGAATCCTCACCCCTTCTCCTGTTGCGTGGCTTTAGACAAGCCATTTGTGCTCTGGGTTTAGTCCTATGTGTGATGCTGGGAACATATCCAACTCTCAGGGAGATGGTGGGGAATGAGACACTCTCTGGCCCTTAGGAGCTCCTGGAGTTGCCAGATGACATAAAGCACCCACCTACTGCCTGCCTACCAAACTTTGATCTCTCTGACTCTGGCTGACAGGGCACCACTAATTCCACCTTTAAAGTATTTGCCTGTGGGTTATGGTGTCATGGTCCTCTGGACTCCTCTAACTCATTTGCTCATTTTTCTTTCTTTTTTCTTACTCCATGTCAGGCTCCTGTGCTGAAGGAACTCAAAGTTATACAGGAAAGCCATCCCAGACAGCTGGCTGAGAGCAAGGTCCTGGGGAAGAGGTGGGGGCCTGATGGGGGAAGGGGCAGTTCTGAAAGGAGATGGGAGCAGCCTCCACAGGCCAATCTGGCTAACTTCATGGCATGCAGCTTGCTTTTCCCTGCCATCAAGTCCCATGAGCTGAGGCTGTCATAAACTGAAGGACCACTGAGAGCACACTGTACCACTTCCTGGGCACTAAGAAGCAGCTTGGTGGAGACCCTAGAGACTGGGACTACCTGTGCCCTGCAGTTCTGCTCATGAGAAACTGAGGCCCAGCTAGAGTTGCTTCTGGCATCAGTAACATTCAGTTATTCTTTCTTTCATGTCTGCAACCCTTTTTAATA